ATTTTTCAAGATTATTGCGACGATTCAAGTTTCATCGGCATATCTGCAACTCAACGCCAAGAGCACCAAGTGCAAAATATGTTCGGCATAGTCCTGTCCCTCACTGTTGGTGAAATTTTTCGGACTTAAAAGTCGAAGAATCAAAGCATTCCTTCACTCCCAAGGCGAACGGTGGATGTACGTGCTAAGTCTATAGAAGAAAAGACGAGAAGGCAAGAGCCTATCAAGCCATGCAAAGAATGAAGAAAATTGGGGAGTGGACTTCCTCGTTCTTTCATGAAAAGCAATAATATCAATGAAATATTATTCATACTGCAGTTTCTGCGGGTTTTCACCAAGAAAGAATATTTATGTTTGGCGGATGTAAATGATTCCAGTTTATGCGGAGAAAGGTTTCAAATGGACATAAGAACAGTGGTAACGGTGGAATGGAAGCGGTAACTAGATACCATAGTACAAGTATTATTATGAAAATATGATAGTGGCTTTATAGAAGAATGTAAACACCTGCATTTCAGTGGATAGATCGTTGCCTAGTTTCTTAAATGTTTTCGAGAAGCGTGCCATCCAATTGATTGCGTCCTTGGTGCTAAACTGGAGGATAGTTCCCCTCATCTGTCAAATTTTAGTACTTTCCCTGAAGTATCGCGCTCTATTTTATTCGTGGAAAAATGAAAGCACACATGCGATGGCACATCTCGGTACAAACGCGGAACATCTTCGTCCTCAGCTAAGATTCCGCATAGCTCCTCAGCATGGCTCTTTCGGGCTTCAAACTGGCTAGTTAATCATGTCCGCTGTATCACCACCGAAATCCGATGTTTAAATAATTTCTGCAGTCTGAATCCGAGAATACCTGCCACGGCCTATCAGAGAGTCTCTAGTGATCAGGATCCCGGTCGATGCTTGTGCAGCGACTATGGAATAGATCTTCTCGACCGGAGAGAGAAGTGTGTTCGAGTTGAGATTCTCAATCAATGAGCTGCGTACATGAACAGCGGGCCTAGATACAGGAGCGCAGATACTGCTAACTTGCTGGATGATGGTGGTCTCGGGGATCGGATATACATCGAAGGTACAGTTTCCCAATTGTCGGTCCCGTCCATCCATACATTCACAAGTCTTCGTCACAGGCTGCAGCGTGCTTTGGCCTGAACCAGAGCACGATGGAACTTTGTCTCATTCCCTCGCTAACCGAAAGGCGTGTCCAAACATCAAGCGACCGCTTTTGGAGGCCAATGGGTGTGAGCTTGTGGAGTATCAGGCTCTGTTCCTCATCTCTGCTGACGACAGGTGGCCTGAGTTACTCAGATGCAATTGGGGGTGACTTTCCGACTTGCACAGTCTACATTCCATGAGCCATAAAAATATCCGTCCCGAGGAGCATGAAATCGAAGATGTTCTCTCTTCGGCTCAACAATCGTATCATGATCCGGAGTTGTGTTTCAGAAGCTCCAGGTGGCCGATCGTGATTAAACGCGAGGCGGCATCAAGCTGTATCATCATCACAGCGCATGTGGTGGCGGCTTTTCGTGATCAACATCCCCATCATCTTCATCATCCCTTGCGAACTTCGCTCATGCTCTCGATTCCTGTGGTCCTAGACTGCTGACGTCAAGATATCATTGAAAACAGTGGGCTTCGGTGCATGCTGCGTTGGGTGCTGGCTTTTCGATAACATCAAGCACTTTCTGTTTTTGATTGGAGGCGACTCGAAAAGTCGATGTGCATCGTCTTGCAACAATAGATCCGCAGTTTCCTCCCTTTTGTTTGGTCAAACCGTAAACTTAGCGGTGACCGACAACGTCACCCACTAGTTCTTAGCATGCCACCGGGCGCCTGGCCTCGACAGTGCGAGGCACAAGGGCATTTGCTAGCGAGTGTCAACACTCGTTATCTCAACGAAACTTTGTCGACTCCACTTCCGTGTTTCGTCTCCTCACACCACGATGCCTCAAGAGTAGATAAACTGCAAAGGCATCCGGAATCTTCATTCTCCAGAATTTGGGCATAACTCGGGAACAGAATCGGTTAGGAAAGATATGTGCCCTTTGGCTGAGGACAGCTTTCGAGACCTGGAGGTCTCTGAGATTTCAACGCATGAAAAAGTCATCGGGGAAGTTTTGGGTCCACGACCTTCTTCTGATCAGAGAATTCAGACAAAGCTCGAACGATAGGACCTGCGATATGTACAATTTTTTTTTCTTTGTTGTGTAACGCACAACTCAATGCAGCCTAGCTCAATATTCAACAAATTCTCCTCATACGTGACACTTTGATCACAGTAACATGGCGCCGTTTCGAGGCAATCTCATGGACGTGCTTCACTCTGGCCTTTGTTTGGCCCTATCGATCTTCGGATCGCTCCAATCCGACTATTGCCAAGGCTTAGCCAGACACAGAGCAAGCACATCATTCCACAACGTGCACAGAAAATACTACAAAAACAACACTCTTCTTTTTCAAAGTGGACAAAAGCGAGTCCTTTTTGGCCATCCCCTTCAAGCCAGCGCTCCTTTTTACAGCCCAGCTTCGCAACTGCAGAACAAGAATACTGTAGTTATCACAAAAGTCGGTAAACGGCTCAAGTGATCAAAGAATGTTGGCACACATTTTGATCCAGCATGCCGCAGTTTGAGAAGCAAGTCAAGGGCAGTGGAAAAGTTCATCAAGACCGGCCGTTGACGGAGACTTGTGATCACCAAGACCTACTCACCTAATACACCCTAGGCAACTCTTTCGACACAGTGAATTTATGGAACTTTTTCGCATTCTTCGGGAGCTGGGAATTATACCAGCTTTACTTTTCTGGAAATCCTTCTATGGTAAAAGAACTTGCACTTCGAGGACATCGTGGATTACGGTTCACATAGAACCCTATGCATGAACGAAAATTTGAAGGAATCACGATTAGGCGTATGAATGTCGTCATCTATGTTAAGTAAAAGCTTTCTACGTTTTCCTTTTGAATCAGAGTATGGTATGTCAAACTACACCTTAACCCTGGTTTGAAGTTCACAACCGGTTAAGTTCAAAAAGTGTGGCATAAAATCAGAGAATTCAAAATCCAATGCAAGAATTTCCAGAAGCTTCTTCGGGTAAATGAGTGAAATGCTTCTTGGTGACGAGCTTCAAACAGCTTCTTTGACCATATTTCCGAGTTATCAGGTCCAGTTAATTTGCAAAAGTAGTATGCCAGTATTTGAAACAGAATATTTCCAAAACAGACTTGGTTAGTAGAGATCTTCAAAAAGGAGAGTCCAACCAGGCAGAATGAGGCATCTAGTTTTACATGATGAATGATGACGAGGGTACATTTCGCAGCTGACAAGTTCTAAGATTAGAGATACGTCTTCGATACAAACTTGCTTAAAGATGACTCCATGTAGAGGGAACATTTTAAATATCGAAAAATGTTGCAAGCTTGGTCTTGCTGGACAGGTATTATCCAACCCAAAGGCTCAGAGTACTACACCTTAATTGGCCATGAGCCTATTGAAGAATATGCAACTATATGCGTTGAGTATTTAGAATCCTTCGATTGATTTTAGATGAATTTGTCTGAAGAGAAATGCACACGATCATTCCATTAACTGCCCAATTGAGGATGAAAATTTTTCTTTTGTAGAATATATAGACCGTAAGCCTTTATAATGTTAAATGGGTGGTTCTATTAACGTAAAATTTTTTTAACTACCTAGTTTACTTAACGTAAAACCCAGTGCTAATATATTTTGTGAAAAATGGTCTATTATGAATAATAGACTAAGTTTTAATACCTTAGGGATCTGACATAATTAATTAAACCATGTAATTTGAATAGATTATAAATTGAGTATACTCTAGAAAGAGTTTCAATCGACAGATTAAGATTGTAAAGATGTCACTCCACATTTTATTAGAGAAAGACTATCATAAACTTTGCATATTTAAAAATCAATTTTTTTATTATATTTTGCAAATGCAGAGTGTATGCATCTAATATTATTTAGAATAGAATTATGGCCAAATAATGTACACTAAAAAATTTATTGAATAGAAGTTCGGAAAGTCCCTCATTTTTTTATTACAATCGTAATTCCGCCCCCTCAGCAAAATCGCTTCCTTTTCGGAGTTTAAGGGTGGAAAAAACATGGTTAGCGCCTTGCATTTTCACAATCGTTAAATCAGTGAATAAATATTTCCAATGTTTCCAATTTGAAATTGCTGAAATAATAACATTGCCAAAAAAAATTTATTAAAAAGAATTTCTCTTAAAATGTATGAGATGTTGAGTAAGAAATGACATTTGGCATGAAACACTGTAATTTGAAGAATAGCTTAATACAAAATAAATTACCTTACTGCTCTTTGCTTTAACATACAATTTTGAGAACTTTATTAGAAAAGTTTGATTGCCAAGTCTAATCACTATTATTTGATTTTGTTTTATTTAAGAAGTGTGTTTATTTTCTTACGCCATGAGTGTTGATTTGTGTCGTACAAATTATTTATCATAATTTAACTATTATAACATGCTATGACTTGAAATTTATGATATAGATTAGTACTTAAACATGAATGACGTCAAATCATCCTATATCATAATAGTTATATTATGACGAATAATTTGTATGGCACAAATTAACGCAATAAATAAACTTCTTGTGACGATTCACGTCAAATACTTGTGATTAGACTTGGCAATCAAACTTTCTTAATAAGAAAATCGTCACGTTTGTTTGTCATCTCATGAAATGACAAACAAAGTAATCGGGTAAGACACTCTTGAGCATATAGGCAGCCTGACAGTACTTAGGAGTTCTTTTTCATGCGCACTTGATCCAGGCTTCAGCTAAGAGGAACAACAATCGACAATTTGGGAACTGTGGGTTATGAATTAGATGAGTGCTGGGTTCATGCACCTGGGCATGGAAGAATGACAATCTTCAATCAGCGTAATCGATCCGTGCCTGGACAAGCGGCAAAACCGTTAATGATGTGGAACAACGGAAGAGTTGGTGAGAGAGCTGCAAGTAGTTCAGAACCTATCACGGTCAGATGATGGATAGCTCCACGGATCTCCAAAGTCGCAACAATACAAAAGCTGCAGCGAATGGACTGATCCGCAGAATTACCTGCAGGACAAGAGTTCCTTCAGAGTTGCTCCTCCAGGAAGTGTAGAGGCAGATGTTACCTGCACACGCCGACAATTTGTAAACTCGGATGGATTCAGCAATTCGTCATGCACCTGCAATAGATACGTCGCTGGTCCCTATGCAGGCAGGCACCATGCGCTCGCGCGGCCGAGCAAACGTCGATCACCAGTGAGTACCACTGTGTTTCAGTCTGTTGTCCCGAAATAGCACACGTCACGCATAAAGTTGGATCTGATGGTCTTGATGGCCGACATGTCTGTGCGTCAGATCCAGCTCAATGCAGTATCCATGAAGGAGAATTTCCTGTCCTCCACTCTCCACTCTGTCCCAGAAGGACGGTCCCTACTTTGGAACTCGGACCTTTTACTCTGCCTGCCTGTTCCAGAAACGTTACACTGCGAGGATCGAACGGGAGGGGAGGGAAAGCAAAGCGGCAGCACAGTTTCCTGTCAATTGTTTTGAAACTCAGCAACACATTCCTGGTTTGACACTGCACGGAACCCGATTTCTGTAAGGTGGAGGATTCTGGAGTTTTGCTACATTGTCGAGGTTTGCACTGGGAAGGGACGAAACGAAATGGAAGCCCATCCCAAGAGCGAGTCAAATCTCAGCATGGGTCGCGCGTGATGACAATGTGCAGGATCTAATCGTTGTGACTCTAAGCTCGGGGTTGCATAGGCTTGCGGACCTTGCCTGCCTGCCTGCCTGCCTTGATGTGAGTGTGCCACCCACCTAGGAGAACCTTTCCGAGAACGGGATGTGATTGGGGGTTTTGTGCAGTGCAATAGAAGAGACAGGGACAGTGAGGATGAAAATCCTTCACTTGATTGGACCTCAGTTGGAGTACAGTTTTGCTTTGAATCGCTGATAGGGTTGAATTTGTCTGCAACCCCACCGTGCGTCTGATTCCAGAAGAAGGTTCTGCATGTAAAGAAACAAATTTGTTGTAAACGGTGCGAGATGAATCACATAAAGGACGAGTGTCATGGAGACAAAGAAGGAATATGAGTGAACAGCACCGCCCACACTTCAGCAGACTTTGATGTAGGTGGTATATCTTAAAGAATTCGGGTCCTACTGGACTTTGTGAAGATGACATGCTGTATCTCGAATCCAGCTACCTTCAGAAGACAGTCTTCAAACTGCAAGATCTTGAATATTTGTCTAATAACAGTGCTGCATATATTCCTTCGTAAGTTCCTTACGTGCACGAATAGAACTCATGTACAGCGTTGATTCTGCGCTCTTCAAATTGTCGCATGACGACGAACGATGGAGCTAAAGCTGTTGGTATCTATGGCACTCAAACTCAGCATTTGCCTAAATATTATATGAAACCTGCCATTGGTCGTCTTCTGCTTCTGAGGTGAGTAGTAGCGTGCTGAATTTTCTGCACAGATGGTTTTGAAACTAGGTTGCTTAGCAGCAGAAGAGTAACCTGGAACCGGACGTTCACTTAAAGTTGGAAATGTGGAACCTAGCTTGGACAAGGAATCATTCGAGAAATTCTGTATGTTTGACTCACTTTATAGCATGTCAATAAAGATTGAAGTACAGCAATGCACGATAATACTTCAGAGTTGATCATAGTGTATCTACACAACAGATTATCATTCTAAGAGAAAAATGGTGATGAGTCCGAGTTAAACACGAAGAACAGTTTCCAAGTGTACGAGCTTTTCAAGAGAGCTAAATATTATGCTCGTCAGGATTTTTTTTTTGACGAAAAGCATACCACATGATATCTTCAAGAATCCCATCTTGCCATTCAAAGATGTTTTCACAGAATCGGTTAAGACATGAATAGCATGGAAAAGATCTTCTGCCTCACGCTAGTGTGCATGAGAAGTCTGAATATGAATTTATTCGATCAGGATATCCACATTTTCAGTAGAATCTATATAGTGCACCAAATGGCAGAAGAAAACCTCCCCGACTTGCAGATGTTTGACGAAGGCGGCTGTGAATCTGCAGCCTCTAGGTTTTCCGTCCTCCATCACGGCCAGTGTCCTTAGATGCAAACATGTCCAGAGCATCAAAGCTCTGTTTGTTCAAGAATTCAGAAATTGCTGAAGTTGGGAACAATCTGCATGGTTCAGAAGCCTGAAGAGTGATATCGGTAGAATTGACGATGGCATGCCAGGAATGCTCATGGCATCAACCGAACTGACGTTCTTCATGATTCTCATCCGATAACTACTGATCACTTCAGTCCTGCTGCTACTCTTAACCGAGCATGCACAACCACCAGCTCACATAATCACGAGAACGATTGAAGAGATGTGTAGAGCACAGCCAATGGAAATTGGACTGAGACCGAAGCACTAGTCTTCGGTAGAGACTCTACAAACGACAGATCTTATATACGAGAACTCGGTCTACATTAGACCATGAGAAGGGGCGATGTACAAAATACCATTTCATATCTGCTGACAGGGGATTCAAACATAGCCGCCCATAAACATCGTGCGTTTGAGTTCATTGCAAACACTAACGTCAGCAGAAAGAGCACGCGCCGAGAGTCTAACAAGTACAGTTTAGTAAGCATTGCTCTCCACTAGAAATAAGCAGCTACGAAATCAGTAGAAGAGGATTTTGTCCGTGAGCATGTCAATTACCAATCTGGACTCCTTAAGTATCGTGAGGTTAGAATAGAATTAAAGTTAGGATACTCATTACACTTATCCGTGCATGTTGTTTCACTGTAAGGGTCAACTTGATTGTGATTGCTAGAGAGAAAATGTCTTTCTTCTGCCTTCAGAAAACAGGAAAACAAAGCAGGAAGATGATGATGATGATGATGATTAGAAGAAATCTTAATCTAAGACCAGAACTATGTGTACATCAATTAGACGAATATGCATTTTAATCTGAAACAAGTAGAAATAGATAGCAGATAATTAAGTGATACATTTAGTGATCACCGAGCCCAGTGCACACAATCAATTGTCATGTTAATGCATCACGCGTGCTATGTGAGTTGGAGCATGATCTCGAATGCTAAAGCTTTGTAACGCACATAAAAGCTTACATGTTTCTTACCTGACGGTGATCTGCGCTAGGTCTTGAGTCATGCTTCAATGATGTTGCATGAGCCTTTATGTTATTTCAGGGTTTAGTGGAAAAGTTCGGCAATGTCATAATTATTGTATATGTTTGTCACATTTCGTCATCCGTCCTCATTCATGCTCATTAAAGCCGGAGAGCACGATAAAGCCAAAGCCAAAAAGCTCTCTAGCTTTGCATGGAGAGAACACAAACATCTACATGATAACGTAAACGAGGAGCGATTTCAGCCTAACATTTTTTTTGCATCACGTTCAAACGACGGGGAATTTATTGTACCGGTCGATCACGAGAAAGCCCTGACACTGACATTAACAACCTAGATTCTCACCAAACGAAAGAAAGTGAGCTACGGGATCACTGTCCCACTCACAGAGCTTCTGATAATGGTTGGTCAGTGCGTCTCTACAGAATTGAAGTCCAGGCTTGCTTTTTACATGTTCCAATGCGCGGTGGATCTAGGAACTCAGTGTCATAGGCTATGCGTACAGTTGTAGGTCTGTCCTTCAATATCCCTTTCAGATGAGGGCACTTATTGTAAGTTGCTTCTGTTCTGTTCTAGCATCATGTAGTACGGAGTGTATGCACCCTATGATCCAATGGGGCATAATCTTGAACACTTTACTCCACAGTCTTCAAGTACATGCGAAGGCTGATTAGATTTTCGTGTGTAACGTGTGCATGTAGTTTTGGTGAACTGTTGACGATGTCGACGTGCTAACTGACAACATTGGTTTATCGCTCATCGAAAGTCAGCGACAAATGAGAAACTGAAAGACGGATTATAGGTATTGGGTATCTTCGGGCTCAACTTGTGCTAATGCGAAAAGCTAGCCACAACGTTTTGGGAGTTTGAATAGTTTCAGAAACTCTCATTCATAATCGAATCGAGGAATCTTTTGTATGATAATCAGCAGTTGTTGTCGACAGCACCAATTTCTGTGTGTTTAGAGAAGAGGATGAACTCTTCACACATATATCCATGCTGAAAGCAGTGTTGTTGAAGATTAGCAGTATGTCTTTCTATATCTCCGGGAGGTACAGGCTATCACTTAGAGTAGCCTATGAGGATGGTGAAACTTGACGAGTTTTTGCCTACTGGAAATTTCACAGGATTTACGATACCAATTGATACATTCATTCCATCTCTTTGAAATATTTCTTGCTTTTCACCAATGCCGGCTGATCACCTGTTTACCCTATTGTCAAAAAATAAAATGCCAGTTTTTGAAAGTTACAAGGAAGATTGAAATGAATCCATTACTGTATATCTATGTGGGCAAATATATCTTCACGAACTTTCTTGATGTACCGAAATTTCAACATCTTGTTGAAAGCTTCATGTTCAGCTATAAAAGCTTTCAGGTTCAATCAAATTTAAGCTGAAGAGGTTGATCAAATTACTTCCTTTGGCAAGATTCAGATTGGGTCCATCTTAGTACTTAGAAAATCAGCTTCACAAATTTGACCTTAAATTTGTTTTATAGGCTGCCTCATTCGAACTATAATAACATATCACAGGCGCTAAAACGATTGAGTGCAAATAAAAAATCATCAGAATTGAGGGAAAATCACTGTAGCAGACAAAGCAAATATCTGATCTATTGACATCTAAATCGTCTTAATGATGTGCCGCTGGGACTAGTTGAAAACTCTTCAATGGAGAAAATATTCGGACATAACCAGTCCCTCTTTTGGATGAACCAAAGTGTAAGACATTGGATCACAATCTAAACTACAGTCACCACTCTTCACTTCTACTTCAGAAGCCAAATTTAATGCTTTGCTGCTTACATACTGTCACAAGATGAGAATATATATTTTATTCATGACTGTAATACTTTAATGCTATTGTAATCAATTCTTGGAACACAGAAACGAGTTGCTCATATGGCAAGATTTCACACTGAAGTTAGAATGAACGGTCATCACTGTTTAGTAATGATGAGGCCATTAGTACTGAGCTGTCAGGAAGCTTTGAAGTGTTTTTCTAGCACATCACATACTGAGAAGGTACTTTCATGTTCCAATGTAGATGTAAGTTTGTATATAACCACATGACTTACAGAAGGCACGTTTGTTTCATGCTCAACCGGTTTCTTTCCTGTGGTTGTTGTGAGATCAAGGTTGTTACTGTAGGAAGTAAATGCATGAAATAAGTAGAAAGAACCCATGTAACTTAAACGACAGCAAAGAGCTCCTTCATATAATGAAGTTTGCATGATACTGATGTGACAAGTTCAAGCTTTCAGCATGGCTGCCAAAATCTCTAAATTCGTATGTACTGGAACACCAAATTTCGAGCATATTGATAATGCAAACGATTCACAAATGCACAACGTTACAATGTTTCACAGAGTCTATGAGCTGTTGCATCTACAGATGAGAGAAATTTCTGATTCTTCCACTAGTATCTCTATCGATTTTTATCTTACTCCAGCATTCCCCGCCAGCTCTCCCACCCATTATCTACAAAGAAGTGAAATCTTCTCATATTTCTGCTTCGGTGGCCTCCCCCAAAAGTCTCGTGTAAATTTGACAAAACCTTTACTCCTGTGTTCGATGGTTGCACCACCTCAACCTTCTCAGAAACCATTTTTGGCAAAACTGGGCTGGACTGGACGTGCGTTGCATAGCTACTGTGTCGAAAAGGCTGCTCCAGCCTGAACTCTGCAACTCCAATTGAGCAAGCAAGCAATCAATTCAGAACTTGAATCCCAAAGGCTTGGAAACAGTCAAGTTTGCTATTGATCATATGAAACATGTCAACACTGACTTCTTATGTAACGAAAACGAGTGTATGGTTTACTGGCCGTAACTTGCCTGGTGTTTTTCTTTGTTGCCTTGAGCCTCCTTTAACTGAAGACACCGTCATTGAAATCCTTTGGTGTACTCTTTTTCGCCTTGTTCACCTTGTCAATTACAAAAGTGAAGGCTCACGAAGTACCAAGTAAAATGGATACCAAACTACCTTTCCATAAACCCACAACTTGAGCAGTTTTCACTGAGCACTGAACATATCTTTACTAGACGTCTGCCTAGGAATCGAGCAGCACATCGATTCATTTCTCATCAGCTGTTTACTGAACTCTGAGCCCTTTAATCTTGTCCGATTTGCTGTTATTTGACTTCATCATTTATTGAATTTGTTCTTGTGTCAGACAAAATCAAGGACCATTAGCACTAAAAATCAGGAATTTTTACAATGTACAAGCTAGCGCATTTGGTAGCGGTTTCAACTACTAGAAGTTGAAAAATAAAGGAGCTCGAGAAAAATGAGCTCATTAAAAGATGAGCTTGAAGATTATGCGGAGCAAAACTTTCAAATTCGAGACATCAATTCGATGATTCGATAAACTCTGTTTTCTGCCACCCGTCGACCAATACGAATGATTTACAGTCGCTTTGCTAAAAATCTTCATCAAACTCGTTTATGAAGAATTTCTTAGTACATAAGAAAGTAGCCGGCAGGCATGAGATCGACCACAGTCCTCATTGCTTTCTTCAACTCTCTGGCGATTCTTCGAGATCTATTGCAGTCTAACAGACTGTTCGCTGCTCCCTTCAATCGTCTCTATCTTTCCGACAAATGGCTGAATCCCATGGCTCCCTTGTACTCGAAGATATTTTTGGTGAACTGGTTGCACAAGATATTTGGGCTCGGTATCGATGAGAACATCGTGACCTGTAACAGAGGGCTTATCTGAGAGCTATCTTACGATGCAAGCGACGTAGTTCACACATAGTTCTACAAGGAGAATTCTGCTCATGAGTTTCTGAAAGCTTTGGAAGATCCCACGATTCGCTGACTCTATTACGACAGAATCTCGAGCTCATGGACTGTATGTAATAGATACATAATGGATCCGCATTCACAATTGTAATTTAGATGGAGATGGCAACGTTATCGATAAGAGGAGGTTCGAAGACTATAAGACTTCTTACAACTACAAAACAACTTTAAGAGTCTCAAAGAATCGGAAGAATCCAAGGAAGGAGCAATCGGAACAATGAAATTCTGGTTGCTAAAGGATGTTCCAGCACAGATGGAAACGTCGGGAAGGAAGGTTTAAACATGATGTCGATTCAGTTAATAACACGAATGGCTTGAAGCTTGCAGAGTTGTCGGCACATCCATCCAACGTTGTTATAATGGTATCTCATGGTCAATTATCAAGTTGTACGTCTTCAATTATTTTACGGATGTCCCTCTTTCTCTAGACTGCAGATTTTCCAACATTTTTGAAAGTTGCACGTTGGCTGGTAGTCA